CAGGAAAACGGCTCACACGTATCCACCAACAGCCAGGAAAACGGCTCACACACATTCACCAATGGGCAGGAAAAGAGCTCACATGCATCCACCAATGGGCACACGTATCCATCAACAGGCAGGAAAACGGCTCACACACATTCACCAATGGGTGGGAAAGGAAGCGACTGCTCCCCGCAGCTCAGGTGTGAACAGCATTTAGAGAAAACAAGGTGGTGTAAACACTGAATAGTGATGTGGCCACAACTACTGGATCATATATGGGGAGGGTTGGGGACGGATCTGGGAGTCGGGTGGGCAGAGGGGTGGAAGAAAGCTACAACTTTATCTGATGTAATGAGAAGTCAATTAATAACACCTGAAACTGAAAACGCATGCAGCAACATTTCCAAGCAGGCTCACTGAAGAGTGATCATGAGCTGATTGGAAAACTGAACACTGACTAAATATTGGATCATATTGAGGAATGATTGTTAGTTTTTAAGTGGGTAAATAGTATCATAGTTATATGGTTTTATTTGTATGTTTTCTGAGACAGTCTTGCTCTGACACCCAGGCTGGAGTCCAGTGGCGCAGTCATAGCTTACTCCAGCCTCAACTGGACCCAAGCCCGAGCAGCTGGGACTACAGTGCATGCTACCATGCCTGGCTACTTTTTTGTGTGTATGTGGAGACCGACTCTCACTATGTTGCCCAGGCTGGTCTCGAACTCTTGGCCTCAGCAAACCTCCTGCCTCGGCCTCCCAAAGCACTAGGATTACAGGTGTGAGCCACTGCCCTCGGCATCACAGTTAAGTATTTTACAAGCATGTCTTTATCTTTTAGAGACAGGCACCAAAATATCCCCAGGTGAATGTCCTGTGTGAGACATGCTTAATAAGTAAGGGCGGGGCCAGGTGGGGAGCAAGCTTGACTTAGGGGAAGCCTGGTGGGCACTCAAAGGTTCTACCTACTTTTGTATGTTTGACATTTTGCATAGGAAATGTTTCTCAAAAAGTGGTAGCAGAAACATGTTTTTAGAGATGCGGTAAACTTAGCAGTCAGAATCAGCTGGGAGCACAGTCTGGGAAGGGCAAAAGGGGCTCCACCTGCTGTTTTGGTTTTATTTTATTTTGTTAGCACTGCAGAATTCTCTGAGTGTGCTTTTTAAGCTATATGTGTGTATAATTCTCACAAAAACAATACATTTAAAAAGTATTCTTAGTTTCAACAAGAAAATGGCTTCTGAGTCTGGGGTCCCAGCCCACCCGTCACTGGTGGGTGCTCCTGCAGCACTGAGACTCAGCGGGGGCCTCTGCAGCCGGACCCACATCCCCCGACTGGGGCACACCACATACCTGGGCGCCGGCACCGTCTGCAGGGAGGGGCTGAGCCAGCAGGTCCAGGTCACCCCCGGTGCTGCCCACGGCCACGTAGCTGTAGGAGCCCCGAGTGTACGGGGCGCTGTGCCAGCGAGACCGCAGGACGCTCTTAGGCGCGGGGAGCTGTGGGTTTCCTGAGCCACAGAGACACTGCATGTTAACCAAGAACTCTCACCCACAGGTCTGCAACTGTTTGTGTCATTTTTAAAGATTGAGCAGTTTAACGTGAAAGATGCTACACAGGAAAAAAACCGAGCAGCAGAGTGCATCAGGAGAGGCCCTTCCTGCCGACCCTGACCGGAGAACAGCAGGCTGGGACCCAGGAGCCTGTGACAGCAGCATGCTCCTGTTTCTGAGCCTTGGGTTCCTCCTCTGTAAAACTCTGATCAAGGACAACGGCATTTATTTCAGTGGCAGAAGTAGGAAGCGTTTGCAAAGTCATTTCAGTTCCTCGGAGGTAAGAACTGTTACTGACCCCACTAACATGAGGAAGGATGGTCCCTGGAGATACACAGAGTCAGCCAAATTTCGTTCTTCTCTGTTCTGAAAAGCCTAGTTTCTGTTTAGAGATCAGCCAGTAACGAGCAGAGGCAGGAACTGGCGTGTGTGGTGAGTACCTGTCATTCTTCGGAGCACTTGGGTGAGACACAGAAGTACTTCTTCATCCGACAGAGTCTCCATGAACTCAGACTCAAGCCCAGCAATGAACCCACAGAGAACGTGGACAGACCTGCGTGGAGAAAGAGACCCGTGGGATGGCGGCGTCCAGCCCAGCTCTCTGCCCACATCTCTCAGCAAGGAGCCCCCTATGGAGCAGCGGCCCCAGGGGCACAAAGAGCCATCCCCACGGAGCATCCCTCAGGCTGCAAAGTCCTGGGGGTCCGAAGACCCTGCCAGGGACCCTCAAGGTCACAGCCATCTTCAGATGCTAAGACAGCATTTGCTGTTTCCACCACGCCAACATTTCCACCTGTGCAAGAACTGTCCCTTAGCAGAATCGAGACAGCAACGGGACCCACACTCGCCTGCAGGCGTTCCCACCGCCACACAAGCAGGTTACAAAATGCTGCCTTTTGCAGCCGTCCTTTGTAGGGACATGGCTGGAGCTGGAGGCCATTATCCTCAGCAAACTAACACAGGAACAGAAAAGCAGACAGCACATGTTTTCCCTTTTAAGTGGGAGCTAAATGATGAGCACACACACTGGGGCCTACGGGAGGGTGGAGGGTGGGAGGAGGGAGAGGAGCAGGAGAAATAACTAATGGGTACTAGGTTTAATTCCTGGGTGATGAACGAATCTGTACGAGCCCCCATCACACACGGTTAGCTATATAACAAACCTGCACGGGTACCCCTGCCTCTGAATATAAAAGTTAAAATATATACATTAGAAAATAAATAAAAATGCTGCTTTCACTTGAGAAAGTCCTTGATAGGCAGTAAAAGTTACTAATTTTATTAAATCTTGACCCTCGAGTTCATGTCTTTTTAACTATCTGCGTGGAGGGTCAGGCACGGTGGCTCATACCTGTAATCTCAGCACTTTGGGAGGCCGAGGCGAGCAGATCACAAGGTCAGGCGCTCAAGACCAGCCTGGCCAATATGGTGAAACCCAGTCTCTAATAAAAATAAAAAATTAGCCTGGCATGGTCGTGGGCGCCTGTAGTCCCAGCTACTCGGGAGGCTGAGGCAGGAGAATGGCGTGAACCCGGGAGGTGGAGGTTGCAGTGAGCCAAGACTGCGCCACTGCACTCCAGCCCGGGCGACAGAGCGAGACTCCGTCTCAGAAAATAATAATCTGTGTGGAGAAGCGGGATCCACGTAGAACACTCCTGCTGTGCGTGGTGCACAGTGGCCGTGGAGGACTCGCCCTGCACAAGCTCATTCCTGGCGGGGCTGGCTCAGAACTCAGGGAGCTCCGGACAGATAAACCATGGTCTGGTATTTGGCGACATTTTCTTGAAAACGAGCAAAGTGTCTCTGTCACAGGAAAACAACTAACGAACAGGATTTATAGACACTGACAAAGTTTAAGCTCTCAAGCAAAAACTGCAGTTTCAGAAAAGCTTGTTTCTGCCACCAACAGCATCACAGCTTCCCGATACCGAAAGACTTTTCTGAGATCAGTGGTATGTTAATAATTTTGGTTTTTTTATATCGTATAAGGAAATGTATCAACATTTGGAAGACTACATGAACCAGTATATATATTTTTTCTTTTTTTAAGACAGGGCCTCGCTCTGTTGCCCAGGCTAGAGTTCAGTAGCTTGATCACAAGTCACTGCAACCTCCACCTCCTGCGCTCAAGCAATCCTCCCGCCTCAGCCTCCCAGTAGCTGGGACCACAAGCACACGCCACCATGTCTGGCTATTTTTTTTGTATTTTTGGTAGAGACGGGGTCTCGCTATGTTGCCCAGGCTGGTCTTGAACTCCTGAGTTCAAGCTATCTGCACACCTTGGCCTTCCAAAGTGCTGGAATTACCGGCATGAGCCACCACACCCAGCCTAGTATTTTCCAAATGACTAAAGTCATGGATAGGTAAAAGATCCATTTGAAGTACAAGACAGACAAATAGATTTCAGTGTCACAGAAGACAAAAAATTCACCGGTGTGCTCTCCGATTTCATATTTGGTCAACCTTTAAGGAACTACTACTACTTCTTGACTTTTGGTGTAGTATCAAAGAATACCCACAATCATTTGAAAAGCTGTTTAAATATCACTCCTTTGGCTGGACATGGTGGTTCACGCCTGTAATCCCAGTACTTTGGGAGGCCAAGGCGGGCAGATCACTTGAGGTCAGGAGTTCGAGACCAGCCTGACCAACATGGAGAAACCCCGTCTCTGTTAAAAATACTAAATTAGCCAGGCGTGGTGGTGCATGCCTGTAATCCCAGCTACTCGGGAGGCTGAGGTAGGAGAAATGCCTGAACCCAGGAGGCAGAGGTTGCAATGAGCCAAGACTGAGCTATTGCACTCCAGCCTGGGTGACAAGAGCAAAACTCCATCTCATAAATAAATAAATAAATAATTACATAAATAAATAAGTTTCACTCCTTCTTCCAACCACATATCCATGTAGATCCAAATTTTCTTCCTATGTTTCAACCAAAATAAAACATCACCACAGAATGAATGCAGAGAAGGCCTGAGAACCCAGATGTCTTCTATTAAGTGTAACACTAAAGAGTTTTGCAGGCCGGGCGCGGTGGCTCAAGCCTGTAATCCCAGCACTTTGGGAGGCCGAGACGGGCGGATCACGAGGTCAGGAGATCGAGACCATC